TTGTGGTGTGGAATCGCCGCCCGTGACTGTACATCTCTGTCCCCAGCGCTGCTTGCGTGCGTGTGTCTCTAATAAAGCTTGCTGTGCGCCGCGCATTGTCTCTGTATCCCGTTTACTCTGACCCCGCTCATTTCCCCTACCTCCTGCTCAGGCTATTAAATAAGAGCCAAGTGCAAGATAATTCCACTTGGCTAGTATCATACTGAGATATATCTAGCAAGATAGGCTGGAGCTTTCCACATTTCCATTATTTCCAAGCTTGCCAGAAGTAGTGGCTGATGCTGTCTCAAAACTAAAGCACATAAAAAACATCCAACATATTTTTAAAAAATGGGGGGCTAAAACTAGTGCTACTGTTTGGATATAGATGAGCAATGAAAAGCACCAATTTGGGAATGGGGAGACCCGAAGTTGCAGCTTCTGGTTTGTTCTTCCATTTTTTCCTCATAACACAGTCTTATTGTCTGGTTGTATTTAATTTCCTACCCCCTTTGCTTCAATTTTCAGCAGTGCTTCCCTGCTTTCCCACAGCACTGCTCCTTCAAGTATTCTTGGCTTGGCTTACATAAGTGCTTTATTGTGCCTTGAGCATCTGCATCCCAAATCATTTTGACTTGTTTGTTTGATCTGTTCAAGCAGTAAATTCCGATTCGGAAATCCTGGAGCTGTGAATACAAGATCTTTTTTTAAAATCTGGTTTTGCTGTGTGAAATTTTGAACGGTTTCATTTTGCATGTTTTAGGTTTAAAACAATTGAATATACTTCTACCTTTTCCAATTTTGAAATCCATTGGTTTCTATGTGTATACTAAGGATGTTAAGGACTAGTTGGCTGTCCTCCCCTTCCTTCCCCCCACCTCCTTGCTGTGTGAGGCAGCAAAGGGGGGGGGAGAGAAACAGGGTACTTCAAAGCAGCAGCACCGCACAGTTGATCCCAGGCTGAGCTGTGCAGTGCTGCCCGTTTGAAACACTGCCATGGCATTTCAAAGGGGCAGCGCTACATGGAGTCTAGGGTCAGCTCCATGCAGCACTAATTTGAAACACTACTATGACATTTGTGTGGAGCCCGGGGTCAGCTGGGGTTCCAGTGCAGAGCTGGTGGTCTGCTGGGGAGTCCCCAGCTTACCCGGGCTCCACGTGGCATTTCAAAGCAGCAGTGCAGCATGGAGCCCAGGGTCAGTGGGGGACTCTGATTCCCCCGCTGATGCCAGGCTCCATGAGGGCACTTCCACTTTGAAAAGCACAAGAGCCTCCGCTGGGGACTGATGTACATTTCAAAGCTGGCACTCGTGTGCAGCCTGGAGTCAGCGAGACTTCCCGCTGGCCCTGGGCTGCATGTGGAGTTCTGCATTCCTTCTTTGAAATGTACTGGAGCCCCAGCTGGGGCTCTTGTACATTTCAAATAGGAATGTGGAAGTGCCTTATCGAGTAATTGATGGAAATTCGACTATTTGATATTTAACATCCTTTTAGTGTCTGCCAAGCATGCACATGTAAATCAAAGGAAAATTATAAACTTACTGACCTATAAACTTTGTTTTATTGTTGAATGCACAGTGGTGTCCCATAGAAATGGTGCTTTCTCAAAGCAGATCACAGGTGGAACTTCAGGTACTGCAATTTTACATTAGTGCAGGTGTCTAATTAGTGCAGGTGCCCAAAAATAGCAATTGAAAAACTGTCTGGCAGTTTTGTTTTTAAGGAAAATAGATGCAGGCAAATAACAAGTACTTTTACGAATCTTATTTTAAATTCGTCTTTCAATTTTTCAACTTTTGAATGTATCTGCAAAACTGGGAGCTTGTTTCACCTTTTATCTAGGAGAGAAAGGAATCATTCAGAAATATACATGTAGTGAAGGATAAAACAAACGTTTTTTCTCTCTTGCACATACTCAGACCCAGACTATAAGTATACAGCTTACACCATTGCCAGAATCATTCCTTGTCTATTATAATTTTACCCAAAACACATTTTTGGTAAAGGCTGTTGAAAGAAATGTTTTATATTGAATGTAATTATTTGTATGGTCCTGTATGGATTATACTCTAAAATGTAATTTTTGAAGCATAAGATTAAAATATAAGTACTTATCTAGCAATTATTTTGGATAAGTGAAATCACTAGCAAAATAAAGCTTGAAAAATGTTGGAAATCTTAATATACTTAAAATAATCATTTCAGTTCCAGTGCTCCCTCTAAGCTGTGGGGCAGTACAGCTTCACAGGTGATTAATCAGCCTGCTTAGCAAAGAGCCAGGAGTCTCTCTGACTGGGCTGGGCTGATTGTTGCCCAGCAGCTTAGAGGGAACACTGGTATGCTCCAAAGCAAACCCTGATAAATCTGACTTGTTATATTCTCAGATGGTAAGTTCTGAAAACAAAAAGTCAAAAATTTATATACCAGCTATAAGACTTAAAGCTTTAAAGGCACATTGTCAAAGGGGAAGAAATAGCTTTCTATTGCTCAAAGTAAAAATTGAAATTCTTATAATTCAAAAATATTAGAGAGGAAAATATCTAGTTTGTTTATATTAAGCAAAACCATAAAACTGACTATAAATGAAGAATTGGCAGGTAAACAAACCAATCAGTCATTTTGGCCAGTTTCTGTGGCTCTCTTAAAAAAGCAATGGAGGGTAGAAAAATATATGAAAATAAATAGAAAGTTGGTGGTAAAGCCACAAAATTTGACAGGGGTTCTGGATCAAATTTTAATTGACTGCATTTTGGTTTGACAATGTTCCTTATAAAAATGAATGAAGAAATAATAATAGAAAAAATACAGAAAATCTTCCGATGCCACTAAGGCCGAAGACAAGTGTAAGCTAATACATAGAGAAATGGGAGTTATGTTGAAATGATGTGTCTTTTTTCTATGTATGAAACACTTTGATCCAAAATATCGGAAAGACTTACTGAATGTATGGAATTTATTTATAGTGGAGAACAAGAGCATTCTGTAAAAGTTGAAGTGGACTCCAGCCCATGAAAGCTTAAGCCCAAATGAATTTTAGTGTTTAATGTGCCACCTTAAAGACTTTCTGAAATATGTAAAAATTAATTCTCTGGTGTCATGGCTCTAGTTCAGATATATACACATTTCCAAATGAACATACAGATTATAAGAGCTTACAAATTCTAGTGACGTCCATAAGAATTTGAAATAAAAATTTTCTTAGCTCTTAAGTCCCCATTGGCTTCCACATTTTAGGTGATTGTAGAAACTGAAGTGTATGAAGTTACTTTCTGTTATGCAGACCTTAAGAGTTTTTCATGGCAAGAGTTTCAATCAGATCTCACTGTTGACTTTTCAGATGACCAAGAATTTTAATTGAGTGGAATCTAGATAATCTATGTTTGATTGTAAATACGTTCCTTAAAATATAGGATTGAGGGCTGTAGTCTGAAATCAGGCAGTCAGTGCATTTCAAAAATAGCTAACAAAAACATACTTGCTGCTCTTAACATGAAAGCCTCATATATTTTGTCAGTAGTGTCAAGTTTGTTTTTAACTTGCAATGGCACTGAACAGTATTGCTGAGATTCCTGATATGTTTCAAGATTTTTTTTAACTCAGAAGTTTAACAGAGCACATCTTAATTGCAAAGCCTATGATAAGGCACAAAGATTTTTAGAAATAATTACTATATTAAAAATGATTATTCTGTTGTATATTTACTTCTATTTTCAAACTGCTATAGAATTGTGTACTCAGGTGTTTTGATGCTCACTGAAAATAGTGCCTTAGCGAATCATTTGGTTTTGGATTATTTTACTTTTAGAAATAACTATCACATGCAAGACACCTGTCAATTGTGTCTGCAAAGAATAAATGGTAACACTTTGATATGTTCCTCATTTATTCATAATTGTATTTTAACTGCGTATTTAAATTGTGTGTGTGTATACACTTTCAACAAGTAACATTGATATTAAGTTTAGGAAAACTCTGAAGCATTACAATCAAGGGGATTTCTGCTGCAAAGTGCTGCATGCAATTGATTTTCAGTCTGTTTTTAAAAGACACATTTAGTCATTGTCTCATCAAGAAACCTTTCTCTGCTTTAGACACTTAAATGATGCTAACATCTTCAGTGTATTGGTTAAGTCCTGAAACAGTTTCTATTTAAATATTAATGTATGTTGCTAGAGTATTAGAATTTTTGTGTGCTGAGTATCGTGCTTTTATTTTGTTGGAAGCGATAACTCAAATAGTGCAGAATACTTTTTTCCAGTGTACAGCTGGCTTTTGCTATACCTATCAATAAAGATTGGTAGTACTTTGTTCATATTTAGCAAAATAGGTACACTTCTTGTTAATGTTTTCTAATTTATATATTTGCCTAAACCTTTATACAAAAAGATCATATGAGTGAATTTATAACTCCAAATTAAGCTTGTGTTCTTAGTTCAAAATTGCTTGTGGGTGGGTGTGGAATTTTGAAAAGCAGATTATCTCACTACAGGTACGTCTACAGCAGTGTTGTTTCGGAATAACTAACATTATTCCGAAATAATATTGTCCAGTGTTTCTCAACCTTTTTAAATAAAATACCCCTTCAAAAAAATTATAAGTACCCCCAGTACCTACAGTTTTCAGACACACACATTTTTTTTTCTATCATTGCAACACATTTGTTTAAACAATTTAATCGTAGCTGGACGGGCGATGAAATTTTTCGATGTAAAAAGTACAAAAATAATAAGGCTCTGTAAAACTTAAAACACAAATTCCGTTTTCTCCAATTTTCAGATGTGTTGACGTACCCCCCAGCCTTCTCTCGAGTATCTCTAAGGGTACTCGTACCATTGGTTAAGAAACACTGACACAGTCCACATCTACACTACAAGCAGTTGAGCTGGAGGACGTCTTACTCCGACTCCTGTAATCCTCATTTTACAAGGAGTCTCCGACTTCCTGCTGTATAGACAGCACCAAAAGCCGAAATAAGCTATTTCAACTTAAGCTACGCAATTGATGTCGCTCAAGTTGCATAGCTTATTTCGGCTTTAGCCCTGCTGTGTAGACGTGTAACTTGCACCATTGATTTGCACTAGAAAATCTCAAAGCTTTTATCAGATTTTTTTTTAAACATTTTAAAGGGCTAAAATTGAGCTTACGCCTAGCTATGATATGTGTATTATACTAAACCACAGGGTATCTAAAGTAGTACTCTGGGAATTTATACTTCTCCATAGTTAAGTTTAGATATTTAAAGTAGGTCAACGTTTTACCATGGATTTGAATGAAAGCCCCTCTTCTGAAAAGAACATAATTATATAGTATGACTTTATTTTTTAATAAAATCCAACCTATCCTTAACCTTATCAAGTATAACAAAAAGAAATAGTATACTAATATTTAAAAAAAACTTAATTTTAGAATTTTTTTAATACTTGAACTTAGTTTCTCAAGCTCAGAGATAAAGTTTTGCAGCACAAATCTGATTGATTTTAATGATCTCTCCAGGGTGATCCTCATAGAAACTTCTAAAGACTACAAAGAATTGATTCTAGGCAAAGTAACAGTGAAATAAAATAACAGTGAAACTGATCAAGTAAGATGGATCCATGTTCAGTTGGAATTCAGCTCCAAGCTGCCAATGAGTGTCATAAGATATACTATACCCGTCATGCTGGCTTCAAGACTAAGCAAGATCTATCTTCATCAGATCTGCTACTACTTCAGCTTAGAACTGGAATGACTCTTTCTGAGAATAATACCATCTGCTTCCATCATGCAAAAATTTATATTGACAGATTTGAAGATCTGCAAAAATCATGTTGTGACCCATTTAACATACACAGGAAAGTATCAAAGAAAAACTTACGTTCAATCGACTTAGATGATGCAGCTTTTCTAAGTGCCAAGTTTGGAAGACAGTTTGTACCTGGTTGGAAGCTTTGTCCAAAGTGTACACAGATAATCAATGGAAGTGTGGATGTTGACACTGAAGATCGCCAAAGAAGGAAACTTGATTCAGACGTATGTATATGGGTCAATTTTTTTTCACTCCTCTAAACTCCACACGCTAATGGGGTGGGGCTTGACTGGAGTCCTACATAAAGAAAGCTCTTATCTTTTTTTTTTCTTCCTTAAAATGTGAAAGTGTTTAAAAAAAATGTACAAGAGATATTTATAAACCTTTTGGGAAAACTTGCCAATTAAATGGATGTGTTTTAAAGGGAGAGAGTCAATATCTTGTGTGTTTTTTATACTAACTTTTAAAATCTATTTTCTTATAGGACAGTCATTTAATAGTTCATGTCCTGACATTTTACAAAAAAATGATTTTTCTGTTCCCCTGTAAATGTTTAAAGGTCTTTTCTTAGGCTACTAGTAAGCACATTAGTAAAATTGAATGTAGACTGGGTGTACTTTGATGTGTTAAACTGATCCAGTTAAAGTCCACACTCTTCCCCGGCGTTTAAACATGGTTAACTTAGAAACATTAGTGTACACTGCCTGTCTACTATAGACATTTAGAAAATGTTGGCTAAATGTTTAGTCCCAGTCCTACTCTGGGACTAAAATATACAAAAAAAAATTAAACTGAAAATGCAGTCTTTTGTCAAAATATTGACTAATCAAACCAAATATGGATTATATAAATTGCATACTTCTTAAGTATTGCACACAGCATGGAAATAATTCTCATCACAAAAAATTGGCTGCAAGAGTTTATGGTAGACTGAGTACATGTGGTTTCAGTCCTACAAGGCCACTGTTCTAAGTCTGGTAGCACAAATATGCCAAACTTATAACATTACTTATGGTATTACTTGTCTTGAAGGCAAACAAGACAAGCTCATTTTTAGAAAGGCTGAATCATCTCTGTGTACATACATTGTTACAGACATGTGGCACAATGTTTATTCTTATTAGTTTTACTGTATGTCCTCAACTATCCAATATAATTGGGTTAGGAATTTTTGTATTTTGACTTGTCACTATTTTGACTGAGGTACTATCCAGAACATGTCAGGTTTCTTTTCATTAGAAAACATTTCATCAGAAGTTTAGTGGCATCATGGGAAAAGTTTTTTTTTTTTTTTTTTTTTAATTCTGTTAATCAGCTGATGTGTATGCTATTTACATTTAAAATTACAAGCCATTTTCCTATACATGTTAATATTTGGAGAGAATTGTCTTGATCTAGTGATGTGAGGAAATGAAACTGAAAAGGTTTTTTTCCTCTTACATATTCAGAAGTTATAGGAGAATAAATAAAAAACAAAGGACTTAATGGAAATAAAACCAATGTGCTAAATGTATTGTAAATGTTAGCTTGATTTTTAAAAACTAAGTTTGATGCTATGAGAGGAAAGATTGTTTCAGAAGGGTTGGCAAGTTTTGCTTTGAAATTGACACAACTGCCCATCTAGCTTTACGGCATTTCCCAAAACTATATTATAACACATCAAACCCTTATTAGGAAAGGATAGAGGTCAGAGTGAGGACTAGAAAATAAGAACCCATTATAGTTATCAAAGTAAGGCTTATATTACTGTTTATTCACTCGGGATGGTACAGTTGCTTCATGTAATGGTTTTCTTTAAAGATTCACATGGTCCTTTCCTGATAGATGCAGCACTTGGGCCCAGCTTTGTGCTTAACAATTTACCTGAGGCTTCACAACATCCCAGCTTGATTGTCAACTCATCTGTGGATTTGGCTTGGTATTAATATTTAAAATTAAAATTTCTATCTTGGTTCAGGGGCGAACAGCTAAAGCTTTGAAGTCCTTGCAGTTTGCTAATCCAGGACGACAGACTGAATTAGCTCCAGAAAGCAGTAAAAGAGAAAAGAGAAGGCTACAAACAAAAAGCACATCGGTTAATTCTGACAGGTGGGCCGTTTTACTATGTTAATACATATTTGAAATGTTGGTTAGGGATGTTAGCACAAAGTATTAATGATTACACAACTAAATCATGGCAAAGCTCTCAAATTAGACAAAGCAACTATTTCAAACAAATTCAGTATGTTTTATGTATAAATACTAAATTCATTATAATTTGTCACACTTCTAAAGTATAAAACCCAAATCAAGATACTTAACACTAAAGGGAACTTTAGAAAAATGTCTAGTAATGTCTAGTAATATAATATATGTATGTAAATCTGCCATGTTAGAGGATTACCCATCAATTTGGTCAACACCCTGTAACTTCAGTTTTTATTTTGTGATTTTTCAATCACACACACACACACACACACACTCACACGGCTTTTTATTTACACTTTTTGGATTTCCTAGAATTAACTAGGAAGTAATCTAAGTGAGGTGTAAAAGGAATATTTCTACTGTTGCCAAAAGTACTATATCTCGCCAAACTAAGTGATTGGGCAACAAAATGGCACATGAAATTTAATGTGGATAAGTGTTAAGTAATGCACATTGGGAAAAATAACTCCAATTATATGTACAGTATGATGGGGGCTAATTTGGCTGTGACAAATCAGGAAAGAGATCTTGGAGTTATTGTTGATAGTTCTCTGAAAACTTCCACACAATGTGCAGCGGCGGTCAAAAAGGCAAATAGGATGCTAGGAATTATTAAGAAAGGGATAGAAAATAAGACCCAGAATATCTTACTGCCCCTGTATAAAACTATGGTACGCCCACATCTGGAATACTGTGTACAGATGTGGTCTTCTCACCTCAAAAAAGATATTTTGGCCTTGGAAAGGGTCCAGAAAACGGCAACTAAAATGATTAGGGGTTTGGAATGGGTCCCATATGAAGAGAGGTTAAAACGACTGGGACTTTTCAGTTTAGAAAAGAGGAGGGATATGATAGAGGTATATAAAATCATGAGTGGTGTGGAGAGGGCGAATAAAGAAAAGTTATTTATTAGTTCCCATAATAGAAGAACTAGAGGACACCTAATGAAGTTAATGGGTAGCGGGTTTAAAACTAATAAAAGAAAGTTCTTCTTCACACAGCGTGTAGTCAACCTGTGGAACTCCTTGCCAGAGGAGGCTGTGAAGGCTAGGACTATAACAGAATTTAAAGAGAAGCTAGATAATTTCATGGAGGTTAGGTCCATAAAAGGCTATTAGCCAGGGGATAGAAATGGTATCCCTGGCCTCTGTCTGTCAGAAGCTGGAGAAGGATGGCAGGAGACAAATCGCTTGATCATTGTCTTTGGTCCACCCTCTCTGGGGCACGTGGTGTTGGCCACTGTCGGCAGACAGGCTACTGGGCTAGATGGATCTTTGGTCTGATGGCCATTCTTATGTTCTTTTATTGTGTATATTCTCTGAAATGCAGCTATACCTTTTGCAAAAGATTATATTATTGTACTAGTAAATTGAGTTGCAAGTGGCTAAATATGGAATTATGGTAAGAAAGAGATTTAGAACCTTCTTGTTACCAATCTTCATACAAGACCATTATAAAAATTATGCTCTTGTTTTCAGAGTTCAGATTTTAATATACATGGTTGTCAATAAGCAGTGGAGTATATGTATGCTTAGTGACAAACGTTCTGCATGAGAACTGCTGATCAAATTTAATTCCTCTCTTCATCCATTGCTAACTGTTGGTAATCAAGATAGCTGGAAGGTATTCTGTTATGAATTTTGGAAGTAACAGCTGCTTTTTATTATTCAGGCAAGTAATCCCAGCAAAGAGTAAAGTCTACGATAGCCAGGGACTGCTGCTTTATAGTGGCATGGACCTCTGTGACTGTCTGGATGAAGATTGCCTGGGATGCTTCTATGCTTGTCCCAAGTGTGGATCCAACAAATGTGGAGCTGAATGTCGCTGTGACCGCAAGTGGTTATATGAACAAATTGAGATAGAAGGAGGAGAAATTATTCGTAATAAACATGTGGGTTAACTGTTTTTGTGTTGGGTACCAATATTGAATTTGGTCAATGAAAATCTGTGGAACCTATCAACGCACATGAACAGTCTATTGAGACTTACAAATTCACTGTTTGATATGGTTTTAGAAAGGTTCTTATTTATAGTAATTGTGTATTGTCACACTTCATTCCACCTTGTACTCATCCATACAAACCAGTGAAAAGGCTGGATCAATGCAATGATTGATTGTTCAGTAGGAGTTTGAAACTGAATAGCTGGTTAATTGCTGAAAGAAGTTTGGGATTAATTGCTGAATATGTCCTGCTGTGTAGAGGGGGCTCTTTCTCCTTGCATCTCTCCTTTCTCACTTTTCCCCTTGAAAATTTGGTTTTCCTATTTGTTTTTACTGTCCTCTTAAATATATACATCTATTTCAATTTAAAATGTATGCAGTGGCAATAATGGCAAGTATTAGCAGGTGTGTGTAGTAAAAGTAAATACTTCATTTTCTAAAATGAGACTTGGGATAGGGATGTAAGCAACTAGTCAATTACCTGATAAGCATAAGCTTATCGGATAGTCGAGTAGTGACTAGTCACTCTCCCTCTCCCTGTCAGAGGCAGCAAAGGGGGCAGAGAGAAGAGCCAGTGCTGGAGGGAGCTGGCTTAAAAGCCAGTTTGTCTCAGCCCCATCTCCATCTCCATCTCCACAGGGCAGGCAGGGGAAGCAGAGGCACAATGGGGAAACAGTGTGAGTGGGGACTGAAGCAGTCTCCATTTGCGCCAGGTTCCTACTGCTGTGCTGCTGCTTCATTTCAAAGCCTGAAGCACCACAGTCGGAACACACTTGTCCCATGGGCAGCTCTTACTACATTTAAAAGTCTGAGGCACAGCCGGGATCGCAAGTGCCCCACCTTCCCTGTATCAACTAGTTGACTAGCTGATTAATCAAAATTTCACATCCCTAATTTTGGGACTGTTATAACATACTTCATTTAAATATATAACAATATAGGGGCTAAATCAACATGTTCATTGCACTAGTTAGCTATAGATGTACTTTTAGAAATAAGCTTTGTCATAATTACTTGGACAGTATTAATGGGTGCTTTCTCACATGGCAGTTCATAGTTTCTTCTAGATGCACCATTGTAAAAGAACGAGTATTTCAAGATGGAGAAAATTCTGGTTTTTAACACCAAAGGTGTTACAAACCCATAGTTTTGGAGCTTAATAACTGGGTTGTTATTTAAAATAAAAAACCTTTCCTAAATTAATCTTGGCATACACTGTGTTGATTCAGTTTTGTAATAAAACTCAGTGATTCCTAATGACACGAGCCACAGTTATGGACTCTGGAGTCTGCAGCAGATTGTTTAAGCAGATCTTTCCCAGGTAACCTGTCTGTGGTCTGTCTTCTGTTTATTTGGTTGTTTTCATTGGGATGAGGGGCAGATGCCTTTGTTTTGAAGATACCTTAGTATTACATCACATTTTCTGTGAAATGTTTGGATAGCTGTTCAGAAGGCTAGATCATCTTCCCTGCTATGGCTACTCTGCTTCCACTTTAAACAGTCATTTGCAGATTCTCCCTAAATAGTTGTTTACAATCATACAGTGCTCTTATAACCTCTAACTTCTTGTCATCAGTTAGGATAGTGGGTATGGCCAGTTGCTGACCGTACCCTTGGAAATTATGGGTAGCTGACACAATGTAGAACAAGCTTAGGGCTACTCACTTAAACTGAGGAACTGGATAAACAGTGGGCAAGAGCTATCTTTGCAGCCCACTTCCTAAACTGAACTGGGCGAGCAAAAGCGCAATCTGGCATACATCTTACGTTTATGGCCATGTACATGTGTGTGCATCTGGACTGTTGTGCTGCACAGTAACTATTTCCATAACGTTTGCTATTACCATCTTATAGACTTTGTTTCTCTCTTCAGGTACAATGGTGATCCTAGAATATGAAATTACTTAGTGATATATTTCTATAACCATCTGCCAGATTAAATATCTAGTTTTACCCAGAGACATTTTTTCATATTGTTTACAGTTGTCACTGCATTGACATAATTTAATATACTGCTTACTGTAAAGTCTTGGGGTTTAAATCATTTAGACTTTTAAATTCTGCAGTAAATAAAAGTTCAACATGGCTAATGCACAGTAGACTGAACTGCATACTTTAATCCTTTTTTAGATAAAGGTTTACATTACACATGCCACTGAAAATAGTCCAAATGTCTTTCCTTTGCTTAGACTAAAATAGCTAAATTGCTGTGCAAACCAGTTGAGTTTCAATAATTTCAAACCAAAGCGTAAATTTTATATTTCTAGCTTCAGTCAGAATTAAGATTTCACATCTGAGTGTTACAAAACTTCTGAAAATTAAATTTTAGTAGAAATGCTAATAAATTCTTAACAAGTAGAACCTAGCAATTGTCCTGTGAACATAGCTTTTTTGAATAGGAGAACATTTTGTACAGTCTTACTGTGGATTCGGACTTATTTTGTCCAACTTGCATATATTTGGACTATTTTACATAAATTTTGCTCAAATTTTGCTTCATTTTACATAAATTTTGCATGTAACTATTGTCTTTTGAAGGATTTTCTTGGTAATTGTACATCTTATAATCATGACATTTTACCGTTTAGATATTTTCATTTCTAGAAAATAATGTGAAACTCAGAAGGTTTGCAGCTATAGATCAGATTTCTGGTTGGATATACATTTCTTCTGTTAACTTCATGGGTTATGCTGACATCTGCTGGTACTGATGAAACATTAAACTTCAGTTTAATCTGCTTAATTTAAAAAAAAGTTGGCTATACTTTTCTTTTACCATTGGATTTTTGATTAATTGAATAATTACTATGAAATGGATTGTAAAAATCTTTTGACATTCTAGCTCCTGGTAAACTTTCTGGAGCATCACCACATTAAAGCACTCTTACACTATCTTTATGCAATCAACTTTACAAGAAGTCTTGTAATTTTTCATAATCAAATATAACTATAAATGACTGTCACTTTTTAACTTGGTCAAATGTAGTTAGTCTTTCAACTTACTACTTCCATAGTAAAGTTTCATTTAAGTTCAAAAATTTATATAAGGTAAAAATTGTCTTAATTACTATACACATAATTTATGTGACTAGTATTAGACTAAAGTACCCGGTTTTCCGATGAATTTGTAAATGGTTGCTTTAGATAGGAGTGCCTAACTCCTAGATAGTGAGAGCTGTTAGCACAGGTATCACTGTGACAAACAGGTACGTTTATTGTGCTCTGGACAAATACCAATTTTTCATTCTAGTACAGGCATGGGCAATAAGCAGCCTGTGGTCTGGACATGCTTTACCAGGATTAGTCCCTGATGAGCTGCCGGCACTTTATTTACCTGTTCATCTGAAGGTACAGCCGCTTGCATCTCCCGTTGACTGCAGATTGCCTTTCCCAGCCAGTGAGAGCTGTGAGAAGCAGTGTGGGCTAGGGATGTAAAATCCTGTTTTAATTGGCTAACTGGGTAAAGCTATTGTTTTAACTGGTTAAAGGGGGATGGGCTTAGGAGCCGCTCCATCCTGAAACCCTGTAGGCAGGAGTTGCTCTATCCTGATCGGAGCAGCCCCTGTCCACTGCGGGCCCCCTGCAGGGCTGGAGTATTCTCTTGCCTGCAGCAAGTGATGAGCTGCTCCAGCCCCCGCCAGTTAATCTTAACTAGTAAGCCTCACCCATTAAGGGTGGGGCTTGCCAGTTACTGTCACGTCTCTAGCGTGGATTGGGGTACCACTTCCTGTAGCTCCCATTGGCTGGGAATGGTGATCCACAGTCAATGGAATTTGCAAGTGGCTGTACCTGTGGATACACAAAGTACCAGTGGCCCACTAGGGGCTAATCCTGGGGAACCACATCTGGCCTGTGGCCCACTTATTGCTCACCCCCATACTAGGCACTTTGTTTATCAACTTGGTTTTATTCCTCTCCTTTTTAAAGCTTAAAGATTATATGCTGTTTGATCATGTGGGGAATGCTCAGAGATCTCCAGCTTCATAAATCTGAAAATGTTTGTTTGGTTACTAGGGATGTTAAAAGTTGTGCATTAGGGTAACCATGTAACTACTGAAAATCTCATTGGTTACATGGTTACTTGTGCTAAGGGCTCTATACTTTATTGCTATATACTGCAGAGCCCGCAGTGAACCCTAGAACATGAGGTGACAGTTGCCTGCTTGCTTGAGTAGTGACAGCCTGTAAAATAAGATCTGCCTGTAAAATAAGCTCTTCGTTGTTGTCTATATTGTATTACTAGAGCTGATGTCAGAGCTGTCCAACTGTGATTCTTAAAGGTTGATTTACCATTGTCCCGAGGCCTTCAGTATCTGCTATGAAAAGTACCAGGCCACACTGGTGTCATGAACTGGAACGAACAGCATGTTAAAGAAAAGTGTGTGTGTGTGTGTGTGTGTGTGTGTGTGTGTGTGTGTGTGTGTGTGTGTGTGTATGTGTATAT